CAGACATGCTACCCCAGTCCGCTCCTGCACCCACTGTTCCTCCTGCACCCCCTTCCTGGCCACATGCTGCATCCTCCCTTGCTCCTGCTCCCTCCCCCTAGCCAGACACCCTACTCCCAGCCTGCCAGACATGCTACCCCAGTCCGCTCCTGCACCCACTGTTCCTCCTGCACCCCCTTCCTGGCCACATGCTGCATCCTCCCTTGCTCCTGCTCCCTCCCCCTAGCCAGACACCCTACTCCCAGCCTGCTCCTGCACCCAGACCTTGCAACCTCTCCTTCTTCTGTCCTCCACCTCCCTCCCAGACCCTGCACCCCATCCCTATCCCATTCTCTGGCAGCCCTGTCACATGTACTGAACCCCTCATTTTTGTCCCCACCCCAGAACCTAAGGAAGCTCCATAAAATCTACTAGGAAAGTTGGGGTGGAACGCCACAGTGAGGTGTCTCAGTTGGGGGCCACCTTGATGAGGGTTGGGGGTTTAGGAAGAGTTCTTTTGCTTCTTACTTGTGTGGTCCCCAACTGATTTTTCTGTGGCTCAGAGGCTCGACCCAAATAATGTTCCTCACCCCAGCCATACGTATGGAAAACATTGAAACCTTTTGTGTTGGGCATAAATTAATATTTTATTTCATTTAAAATGAAGTTTGATAAATTAACATGGAAGAGTTAAAATGGTTAATTTGTTTAATAATTTAAATGAAACCAGTCTCCCTAGCTGCAGCACTAGAAAAATGGCTCAGGTGTAATGATGTCATTAACGGTGAGTTTCCATTAGCAAGTGGTGGTCCATGGAAAGGTTTACATTGGCCTGTGGACCCCCAGCTCAACAAGGTTGAGAATCCCTGAAATAGAGGTACTCCTGGCCTCTCCCCTGCAAAAGACCTCCCCAGGCTCCGTGTTGCTCCCACAAAAGATTGGTCTGTTACCATGGTGGTGAAATCACTGTGTCACTCCAGTGTGAATAACGGACAGACTTTTTGTGAGTTTTTACCATCCAAGCAATTGATGATTTAAACAATGTGTTAAGATGCCACATGAAAACACTTGGTACAGCCACAGAGAGGCAGGATGTACCGTCTCTCACCAGAGAGGACTGTGCCATAGTGAACAAACCCTTTGTGAGCTCCGTGGAAAGGTGAGATGTTTTGACTTACCGCTTCAAACGAATTTGTTCTAGCTTTGGCCTACATGGTGTCTAGACATGAGTTAGCTGTGATAACACATTTCTGAGTTATTCTGACACAAAGTGAAACCTGTGCTAAAGACCCCAGTCCAGTGAGAGAAAGCACTGCTGTCAGAAGTCAATTCAAAGTTTCTCCAAATTTCTTCTAAGATTGCCTCTGCCAGCCAGTGGGGCTTTGACATTGATCCCTTATATTTTTGAAGGGTGACTAAATATTACCTGGATCTTCTTGGGTAATATCAACAGATTGCTTTGGGCCTAATCCTAGCTTAACATTAAATTGGATCAGGCCCTTTGTAAGCGGGTTGGGAAGTGGACTCATTTGGCAGTTATTATTAGGTATTATTTACCTAACATAGGCATTCCCCAGAGGCAGGAGCTGATCTGTTAACAGGTTAATGTTAGGTCACACTGGGGCTGCCGCTGGTTCCCAGCTCCTCCCTCCCCTGGAGTAGTCCTTGTCCATAGCAAGCTGCATTCTCCACAGAGAGAGGCTGCTCTGTATCCTGGCGCAGTCCCTGCCTGTGGGGCCTCTGAGTTCCCCAGAGACTTGCTGATCTGGATGAGAGCAACCCCTGTCTGCAGCAAGCCCTTTGCGGGCCTGGAGCAGCCCCCTTCCTGAAACAGGTGGGGAACTGCTCCAGCCCCCTCTGATTACCAGTGAATTGGAACCAGTAATCAGGACTGGTTAAGAGGACTATGCAGTTGTCCCATGAAATTGTGTGATAGTTCTGGATGATTCACAGGCCCTGAGTCAAATGGGGCTGCATCTACCCTGCAAAGTAATAGGCCTGAGATCCTGACTCTCATCCTGAATTGAGGTTGGACCTCTAGCACTGCACTGTCATAGGACCCTAGGTCTGGACCTGGGGTTAATGCAATTGCAATATAGTTGAATGGAGGGGTCTTCTATGGGGCCCAAACCCATCCCTATAGGTAGAAGATGGTGGGAAGAGGTCTTAGATGGGTCACATGACACCCTTTATTTCAGGTCATGTGTTCATCTTGACCCCAGAAGTACCACCCCAGGGGTGGGACTTCCTGTGACAAGTGGGTGGGGCCTAAGGGGCCAGGGGCATGGCTAGTGGTTTCAGGGGGCGGGGCCAAGGTGTCCATATTTTTGGTTCAGAAAATATGGTCACCATAGGGTAGCCGAGTTAGTCTGTGCAGGATAAACTTAAAAAACAACAAATAGTCTGGTAGCAATTTAAAGATTAACAAACCATGTAGATGGTGGGTGCCCACAAAAGCTCATGTTACCATCTACATGGTTTGTTAGTCTTTAAAGTGCCACCAGACTATTTGTTGTTTTTTAATTTTAATTAGTGTCTCTTTTCTCGCTGATGATTTAAACAGTGACGGACACTTATTACACACAAGCTACAATATTGCATTACAACGTGGGATCTAGATGTTGTGCAGTTTATAAGCATTCCATCAAGTCCAAACA